GACGAGTGTTGGTCAGGTAATTAACGGATTACGAGAGAGAAGGGAGTGTGTGTGGCGTCTGGTTACTTATTGGTGGTGTTATTGGTGGTGACGTCTCGTGGTGTTTTGATGCGCTCTGGCGCAAGGCATATGCCTGTGGTGGTAATGGTGTTGGGGAGGCCGTGTGTGTTGTGTTGATGGCGTTGGGGACGCCGTGTGTTGTGTTGAGGGCGTTGGGGACGCCGTGTGTTGTGTTGAGGGCGTTGGGGACGCCGTGTGTTGTGTTGAGGGCGTTGGGGACGCCGTGTGTTGTGTTGAGGGCGTTGGGGACGCCGTGTGTTGTGTTGAGGGCGTTGGGGACGCCGTGTGTTGTGTTGAGGGCGTTGGGGACGCCGGGTGTTGTGTTGATGGCGTTGGGGACGCCGGGTGTTGTGTTGATGGCGTTGGGGACGCCGTGTGTTGTGTTGATGGCGTTGGGGACGCCGGGTGTTGTGTTGAGGGCGTTGGGGACGCCGTGTGTGTTGTGTTGATGGCGTTTGGACGCCTGGTATGGAGTGTGGTGTTGTGGAGTATATGGTGGCGCAGGGGCGCCAGGTAGTGGTCGGTAAGGTGAGTATTGGCGTAGCAAGGTCGGTGCGCAGGAAGTGGTTGTAGGGATGTGTGGCGTTATATTGAGGTCATTAGTGGTTGGGATGACCAGAGGTAATGGTGTGTCGGAGTGGGTAAGTCTTATGGATAAGATGAAATGTGGATAATTGCAGGAGTTGGTGGCTGCAGTAGGCGAGCCAAGTCGATATCTCTAGCAAAACTCATAAAATACTAATAAAAATTCATTATTCTCATTAAAATTTTCATTAATTATGTCGGAGTGGGTAAGTCTTATGGATAAGATTACAAGGTAGAATTTCAAAATTTCAGGTGTTGGTGGTTGCAGTGGGCGAGCCAAGTAGATATACTAATTTCTCATTAATTAAGTTGTTACAGGAATCTCGCTAGAGGCGAGCCAGTGGCAGTATGATGCTTTAGTGACATTAGTTGTGGAATTATTTTAAGGAGGTATTTATTGTGATAATGTATGTGTATGTATATACTGTATATTACCTCATCGGCACCATTACTGAGTGTTAGGCTTGAGAAGGTCCCCCGGGATCATGTCACAGAGCTTCAGGTAGAGTAGAAGGGAAGCTATGAGGCTACACTCAGTTATTCTAGAAAAAAAGGGGGGTGGAAGTGAAGCCAACGTGACGTTATAGGCGAAATTCGCCCCCTGACATCAAAGCAGGGATAAGGGCCAGCTGCAATGGCTTTGCAGCTGCGCTCAGGCTATATACGGGGAGAGAGTAAGGAGCCGAGGGGGTTATGTAATAATGGGATCGAGCCAGGGGGCTCCGAGGGAATATTTTGCAGGTACAGCGGTCGGGAAGGTGTGAATACAGGTGGACACACTCTGGGCGGATGGGCCTAGACCAGAGAGCTGTGAGGGATCTACAGCGTTCTGGGATTGGTGCCCTGGAACGAGACGTCAGCACAAACCCAAGGGAACATGACCCTGGGGTAGGAATCTCCGTTGCTCTGGAGGCCAGGATCACGTTAGCTCAGAGCAACGATGGGACATTGACAACATTCACCAGGCTGGACAGCCTGGGTTTTGTCTGGGTCATGGAGGATCTATGACCTAGCAACCATGGGACACGAAGACAAGAGAAGTGATGCTGCCAATTGTGGAGGAGGCCAGTGAAACATTGTGTGACCATTGTAAGCCCTTATGTCAACAGTACTGGGCAAGATGTTAAATTATAATTACTAAGGATGAAGAACCTTAGATATATATGTGTTGTGTATATATTAATGACTAGTGTCATTTCTGTTTAAGTGCCAGCATTCTGGTCCATGTAATGTTATGGTTATGTTTGTATGTAATTATATGTCAGCAGTTTAGGTATATGTGCATTGTTGGAGATGGGAAAAATTATTACAGACTATTTTACCTGTGCTATGATGTGAATATAATGTATATGTTGGAGAAGTGTTGTGAGTCATGTCGGGGAAAATTTTAATTTATTTCATCGTGTGTATGATGAACTTTTTGGATGATTTTTTAGTTGTACACATATGGTGGGTGCATCCTCCAGGTCCTTGCACTAATGGAACCATTGCAATGATGCATATGGGGACATATGCGTGTTTAAGGAGGGGAGTGGTGTTGTAATCCACAAGTTAGTAGGAATTATTAGCTAGAGGATCATTACTACAACACTTAACGAATGATGATTGGAAGTACATGTAAGTAGACAGACTATGGATCACATATCTAAGAAAGGTCAATGGATTAAGACCGAAGCTGTTTAGCCAAATTAATAATTCCTGGAAAGAGGAATTATTCTTCGTCAGGCTTCTAGGAACAAGATTACCGCTCTAGGGATAAGGTTAATCGGATTATACCTTCCTTGAGAGGAGTGGTGAAATGTTTGAGGCCATGGCTGACTGGAGGCAGTCTGGTTGTGGAAGTGGAACTAGCAAGTCCTCGGAGGTCTCCGGTTGTGGCAGCAGCGAAGTGTAGCAGACAGCTATGCGAGAGCCTGTTGTGATCTTAGTGACCAAGTTAAGTCTGCAGTATGTGAGTATTGAATGTAAGACTAACCGGGTGTGGAGCGTTGTAGTAATCATTCCGTATTAGGGACTTAGGCGGAAGTTACGAGTGTGGGTGGTGATCGCGGAGGTCAAGTGGTCTATGGGTATTGGAAGTGTATTGACCTAATAGAGTATGTTAATTAATATAGTATTATTTGTCAGAGTCTATTCTTTGTAATTAAATGACAAAACCCGACGGCCTTTAAATACCTTCCGTATGTTCATTCATTGTGTTCCAGTACAAACCTAGTGGTACGCCTCAAGGGTCTGGTGTGTGTAGGAGTACACGGTGGTAGTAACGGTTGCTGAGGCAAGGTGTTATGTGTTGTGTAATCGCTGTGTTCGGAATGAACCGGGGTTCAGCGTCACGACACATTCTCCCCAGGTCAGAGTTATCATCCTCCCCAGGTCAGAGTTATCATCCTCCCCAGGTCAGAGTTATCATCCTCCCCAGGTCAGAGATAACATCCTCCCCAGGTCAGAGATAACATCCTCCCCAGGTCAGAGTTATCATCCTCCCCAGGTCAGAGATAACATCCTCCCCAGGTCAGAGATAACATCCTCCCCAGGTCAGAGATAACATCCTCCCCAGGTCAGAGATAACATCCTCCCCAGGTCAGAGTTATCATCCTCCCCAGGTCAGTTATCATTCTCCCCAGGTCAGAGTTATCATCCTCCCCAGGTCAGAGATAACATCCTCCCCAGGTCAGAGATAACATCCTCCCCAGGTCAGAGTTATCATCCTCCCCAGGTCAGAGATAACATCCTCCCCAGGTCAGTTATCATTCTCCCCAGGTCAGAGTTATCATCCTCCCCAGGTCAGAGTTATCATCCTCCCCAGGTCAGAGTTATCATCCTCCTCAGGTCAGAGTTATCATCCTCCCCAGGTCAGAGATAACATCCTCCCCAGGTCAGAGATAACATCCTCCCCAGGTCAGAGTTATCATCCTCCCCAGGTCAGAGTTATCATCCTCCCCAGGTCAGAGATAACATCCTCCCAGGTCAGAGATAACATCCTCCCCAGGTCAGAGATAACATCCTCCCCAGGTCAGAGATAACATCCTCCCCAGGTCAGAGATAACATCCTCCCCAGGTCAGAGTTATCATCCTCCCCAGGTCAGAGATAACATCCTCCCCAGGTCAGAGATAACATCCTCCCCAGGTCAGAGATAACATCCTCCCCAGGTCAGAGTTATCATCCTCCCCAGGTCAGAGTTATCAGCCTCCCCAGGTCAGAGTTATCATCCTCCCCAGGTCAGAGTTATCATCCCCCAGGTCAGAGTTATCAGCCTCCCCAGGTCAGAGTTATCAGCCTCCCCAGGTCAGAGTTATCATCCTCCCCAGGTCAGAGTTATCATCCCCCAGGTCAGAGTTATCAGCCTCCCCAGGTCAGAGTTATCATTCTCCCCGGGTCAGAGTTATCAGCCTCCCCAGGTCAGAGTTATCATCCTCCCCAGGTCAGAGTTATCAGCCTCCCCGGGTCAGAGTTATCAGCCTCCCCAGGTCAGAGTTATCATCCTCCCCAGGTCAGAGTTATCATCCTCCCCGGGTCAGAGTTATCAGCCTCCCCAGGTCAGAGTTATCATCCTCCCCAGGTCAGAGTTATCATCCTCCCCGGGTCAGAGTTATCAGCCTCCCCAGGTCAGAGTTATCATCCTCCCCAGGTCAGAGTTATCATCCTCCCCGGGTCAGAGTTATCAGCCTCCCCAGGTCAGAGTTATCATCCTCCCCGGGTCAGAGTTATCCTCGTCTCCAGGTCAGAGATATCAGCCTCCCCAGGTCAGAGTTATCATCCTCCCCAGGTCAGAGTTATCATCCCCCAGGTCAGAGTTATCATCCCCCAGGTCAGAGTTATCAGCCTCCCCAGGTCAGAGTTATCATCCTCCCCGGGTCAGAGTTATCAGCCTCCCCAGGTCAGAGTTATCATCCACCACAGGTCAGTTATCATTCTCCCCAGGTCAGAGTTATCCTCGTCCCCAGGTCAGAGTTATCATCCACCACAGGTCAGTTATCATTCTCCCATGAGTTATCATCCACGCCATGGCAAAGTTATCAGTTGACCTAGATATTACATAGTCCCCCCCCCCCCCAAGGTCATCATATACCATGTGACTGCGGTCCTGGTCTGAGTGTGTGCCGGCATTAACTGCGTTATCACAGTCTAATTAAGTTACGGTCTCCAGGTTTGGATATAACATCTTTATAACTTTATTATATCTTGTTAATATATCGGGGCTTGGTGACACATGATTACTGGAGGAACTAAATATTACATAACTATTATTGTGACAAACAATGTATGTGTGTCACTTCGGCCGCCATAATTATTATTGTGACAAACAATGTATTTGTGTCACTTCGGCCGCCATAGAGAATTAGCGGGTATGGTTATTAGATGTCGAGATAGTTGCGATTGTTAGAAATCCCCAGTATCAGTGGTGATAAGATATCAAGACTTAAGTACCGCTGTGGGTGCTCTCTCATCTCTCATTCCCACGCAGCTTCATCAGACAACAACTACGAGACTGTGTCATACACATTCACAGTGAGTGTGTGTTTTGTTTCTACTTATTTTATATCTGAACTGAATGTATTATAATGTGGGGAAACTCTGGTGAGTAACATAAGTTGAGTGGGTTAATGTGGGGAAACTCTGGTGAGTAACATAAGTTGAATGGGTTAATGATTGATTGATTGATGATTGATAAAGATTAAGCCACCCAAAAGGTGGCACGGGCATGAATAGCCCGTAAGTGGTGGCCCTTTGGAGCCATTACCAGTATCAAGAGCTGATACTGGAGATCTGTGGAGGTGCGACTGCACCCTGCGTGACGGGAGATGTCTCCCGGACCAAATGGTGACCAAATGGTGTCCAGATGGTGAGTGGGTTAATGTGGGGGAAACTCTGATATATAATGTACTCACCTCACCTGGGGGCCTCGTAGCCTGGTGGATAGCGCGCAGGATTCGTAAGTCTGTGGCGCGGGTTCGATTCCCGCACGAGGCAGAAACAAATCGGCAAAGTTTCTTTCACCCTGAATGCCCCTGTTACCTAGCAGTAAATAGGTACCTGGGAGTTAGTCAGCTGTCACGGGCTGCTTCCTGGGGGTGGAGGCCTGGTCGAGGACCGGACCGCGGGGACACTAAAGCCCCGAAATCATCTCAAGATAACCTAATTGTGCTTGCTGGGTTTGAGCTTTGGCTCTTTGGTCCCGCCTCTCAACTGTCAATCAACTGGTGTACAGATTCCTGAGCCTACTGGGCTCTATCATATCTACATTTGAAACTGTGTATGGAGTCAGCCTCCACCACATCACTGCCTAATGCATTCCATTTATTAACTACTCTGACACTGAAAAAATTCTTTCTAACGTCTCTGTGGCTCATGTGGGTACTAAGTTTCCACTTGTGTCCCCCTTGTTCGTGTCCCACCCGTGCTGAAGAGTTTGTCTTTGTCCACCCTGTCAATTCCCCTGAGAATTTTGTATGTGGTTATCATGTCTCCCCTTACTCTTCTGTTTTCCAGGAACGTGAGGTTCAGCTCCCTTAGCCTTTCCTCGTAGCTCATACCTCTCAGTTCCGGGACGAGCTTGGTGGCATACCGCTAAATCTTCTCTAACTTTGTCTTGTGTTTAACTAGGTATGGACTCCAGGCTGGAGCTGCATACTCCAGGATTGGTCTGACATAAGTGGTATACAAGGTCCTGAACGATTCCTTACACAAGTTTCTAAAGGCAGTTCTTATGCCTTTATGTGCACGCGGGTGGAGTTGGGGGTGGTGGGTGAAGGTGATGGGCACGCTGGTGGACCTGGGGGTATGAGGGGGAAGTTATGGGTACGCAAGTAGAGCTGGGGGGTGTGGGGAAAATTATGGGCGCGCAGGTAAAGCTGGGGATGGGTGTGTGGGGGGAAAGTTATAGGCGTGCAGGTGGAGCTGGGGAGGTGAAGGGAAGTTATGAGCACGAGGGTGGAGCTGGGGTGTGAGGGGGAAGTTATGGGCACGAGGGTGGAGCAGGGGGTATGAGGTGGCAGTTATGAGCATGCAGGTGGAGCTGGGGGTGTGAGGGGGGGAAGTTATGGGCACGTGGGTGGGGCTGGGGGTGTGATGGGAAAGTTATGGGCACGTGGGTGGAGCTGGGGTGTGAGGGGGGGAAGTTATGGGCACGTGGGTGGAGCTGGGGGTGTGATGGGGAAGTTATGGGCACGTGGGTGGAGCTGGGGTGTGATGGGGAAGTTATGGGCACGTGGGTGGAGCTGGGGGTGTGATGGGAAAGTTATGGGCACGTGGGTGGAGCTGGGGGTGTGATGGGGAAGTTATGGGCACGTGGGTGGAGCTGGGGGTGTGATGGGGAAGTTATGGGCACGTGGGTGGAGCTGGGGGTGTGATGGGAAGTTATGGGCACATGGGTGGGGCTGGGGGGTGTGATGGGGAAGTTATGGGCACGTGGGTGGAGCTGGGGGTGTGATGGGGAAGTTATGGGCACGTGGGTGGAGCTGGGGGTGTGATGGGGAAGTTATGGGCACGTGGGTGGAGCTGGGGGTGTGATGGGGAAGTTATGGGCACGTGGGTGGAGCTGGGGGTGTGATGGGGAAGTTATGGGCACGTGGGTGGAGCTGGGGGTGTGATGGGAAAGTTATGGGCACGCGGGTGGAGCTGGGGGTGTGATGGGGAAGTTATGGGCACGTGGGTGGAGCTGGGGGTGTGATGGGGAAGTTATGGGCACGTGGGTGGAGCTGGGGGTGTGATGGGGAAGTTATGGGCACGTGGGTGGAGCTGGGGGTGTGATGGGGAAGTTATGGGCACGTGGGTGGAGCTGGGGGTGTGATGGGGAAGTTATGGGCACGTGGGTGGAGCTGGGGGTGTGATGGGGAAGTTATGGCACGTGGGTGGAGCTGGGGTGTGATGGGGAAGTTATGGGCACGTGGGTGGAGCTGGGGGTGTGATGGGGAAGTTATGGGCACGCGGGTGGAGCTGGGGGTGTGATGGGGAAGTTATGGGCACGTGGGTGGAGCTGGGGGTGTGATGGGGAAGTTATGGGCACGTGGGTGGAGCTGGGGGTGTGATGGGGAAGTTATGGGCACGTGGGTGGAGCTGGGGGTGTGATGGGGAAGTTATGGGCACGTGGGTGGAGCTGGGGGTGTGATGGGGAAGTTATGGGCACGTGGGTGGAGCTGGGGGTGTGATGGGGAAGTTATGGGCACGTGGGTGGGGCTGGGGGTTTGCAACATTTAAGCAAAGGTTACAAGGAACATCTTGTGAGGACCGCTCCTAGGACAGGCCCCCATGTAATGTGACGTGTTGCAGTAGCACAGCTGTACTGGGCAGATGTAATGTCACATTATACAGCTATAGTGGGCAGATGTAATGTCACATTATACAGCTATAGTGGGCAGATGTAATGTCACATTACACAGCTATAGTGGGCAGATGTAATGTCACATTATACAGCTATAGTGGGCAGATGTAATGTCATATTACACAGCTATAGTGGGCAGATGTAATGTCACATTACACAGCTATAGTGGGCAGATGTAATGTCACATTACACAGCTATAGTGGGCAGATGTAATGTCATATTACACAGCTATAGTGGGCAGATGTAATGTCACATTACACAGCTATAGTGGGCAGATGTAATGTCACATTACACAGCTATAGTGGGCAGATGTAATGTCACATTACACAGCTATAGTGGGCAGATGTAATGTCACATTACACAGCTATAGTGGGCAGATGTAATGTCACACGCACTATTATAAATAAAGTGCAGCTTTGGCCCTTGCAGATTTAAAATTGCACAGGATATAAAGAATTGAAATTGAAATTGAAATAAGTTTATTGAGGTAAAATACACACAAAGGGATGAGGTAGCTCAAGCTATTCTCACCCCGTTCAGTACAACGTGTTAATATATACATAGACACACATCACAGATAAACATATTGCCAAACATTCTGAGAGATAAACATATACATTTCCTCCTTCACAAGGAGTATGTTATCAGACGTACACACAAATACTTTTATGACCTAGGTATACTCAGGATATAAAAAATAATCAGATAAAAACTTAACACAAGTAAATTACAATATACTCTAATATTAAATATGAACAAACCCATGAAAAATGATACCTGAAACCCTGTTAATATTCACTTGGCTAGCACACCAGAAAACATAAAATAATAATATGAACAAATTACATTAATACAAGAAATAGTGGTGACAATTATAATATTTATATAACACTGGCATTTGAACATGAGAGAGCGAGGAGATCCACGTCGCGTGAGGAACAGTGTTGACCCAGACCATCGGAAGAGACTGTCGTGGTGAAAGATTGATTGATGAACATTAAGCCACCCAAGAGGTGGCACAGGCATGAATAGCCCGTAAGTGGTGGCCCTTTTGAGCCATTACCAGTATCAAGAGATGATACTGGAGATCTGTGGAGGTGCGACTGCACCCTGCGTGACGGGAGATGTCTCCCGGACCAAGTGGTGACAAGATGGTGTCGTGGTGAAGATTGATTGATTGATAAAGATTAAGCCACCCAAAAGGTGGCACAGGCATGAATAGCCCGTAAGTGGTGGCCCTTTTGAGCCATTACCAGTATCAAGAGATGATACTGGAGATCTGTGGAGGTGCGACTGCACCCTGCGTGACGGGAGATGTCTCCCGGACCAAGTGGTGACAAGATGGTGTCGTGGTGAACAAGATCAGGGGTACTTATACCCCTGACCTGTAGACCAGACCACACACTAAAAGTTGAAGGGATGACGACGTTTCGGTCCGTCCTGGACCATTCTCAAGTCGATTGTCCCCGTGGTCCCCGTGGACCTTGGTGACTGTCACCAATGGATGTGTGGTAATGAATTCTAAATGTTGTCTAGGGAAATAGAGGCTCTTACTTGAGCCAAGGAGAAATCAAGGAGTAGGGAAACAGCCAAGAGACAAAATTTATATGAATAAGACACATTTTAATATATGGCAATAATTGTACTTCTTTGAGAAATATACAAGAGTTGTTACATTCTTGTACAGCCACTAGTACGCGTAGCGTTTCGGGCAAGTCCTTAATCCTATGGTCCCTGGAATACGATCCCCTGCCGCGAAGAATCGTTTTTTCATCCAAGTACACATTTTACTGTTGCGTTAAACAGAGGCTACAGTTAAGGAATTGCGCCCAGTAAATCCTCCCCGGCCAGGATACGAACCCATGACATAGCGCTCGCGGAACGCCAGGCGAGTGTCTTACCACTACACCACGGAGACTGCCTTACAAGTCAATATCGATCTGAAGGTAACAACTTGGCTAATAGAACTCCCAAACGGGCTCTGGATACCCTATGGCGTTGTTGCAACCCGTTCTCGCAAATTCGTAAAGTCAATATTGACTTATTAACTACGTGCATAGGTGACATACTAAACATAATAGATACCCTTAAAAAGATTCATAGAAAACACCGATCTTACCTAACCTTGTTAATATCTTAAGATAAGCATCTTATTGCTTCGTAATTACAATTATTACTTAACCTATAC